ACAAACCTACTGGACTTTGTTCTTCAGGTGTTTTAGTGGAAGTCCCTCCTAATCTACAGTGGCCAAATTGTGTAGGGTGGCTTACTAAACCTTTTTATATATATAACTGCTGATTATTTCTTGAAATAAATGATATGAAATAGTTATTGACCCATATTGCAGGGGAAAAAATTTCTTAAGAAGAAAATCAGGTCTTGGTTATAAAATTATGCTGTAACCAAACATATGTAAAAATTTGGGAAATGGAGAATGGGTAGTAGAGCTAAGAGTTAAGGAGCTTATTTTTGGGGATTATGTAAACAACAACATTTTCACATTTTAAAAAATGAAGTTGGGGAGGGTAGGAATTGACAAAAATTGTGATCATTGGGTTGGTTATACATAACATTTTCAGGATTAACAAAACTTGTACAAAGCAGAGACTGAAATTCAGAATAAGTAGGCAATATGTATACTCATATTAAAAAAAAAGCTTTATCTCAGTTGGCAATCACATATTATCAATAAGTAATATGAAATAGCTAGATCCTTTCCCTTGAGAATTAAACATGTTTTTCAGGACTGTTTTGATAAGGTAAAAGAAAAACTGATGTGCAGGTGTTTGAAAACCAAGTTTACCATTTATCAAAATTAGCATGTTAAGTACAAAGATGACATGTCTGCTTGAGTAAGACATGACGGAAGTATTTTAACAAAATATTATAAGGCTTCCATTATATATGGCTATAGTGTTGAAAAAAAGGAATATTTTCCTAGCTGCATATGTGCTTTATGAGGAAAATTACTGTCAGATGCAGGGAATATCCCAAGTCACAGATCACAAAACAACTAAATTCAACATAATTAAATCCACATACTTGATTTTTCCCCTTGCCTGATTAAAGTACCCTCAGAGTTCTCAGGAGAATCCAGAATGACAAAATTTTGATCACTCAAAGATGGACACAGGATGAGCCACATAGTATTCATCATCAGTGCTAAAGTTTATACACTACTTCAAAATAATTTATGAAAGAAATTTTCGCCATTATTTAGTTTCTTTTGATCTTGATGTTTACTGTTTAGAAATTCCCCCAAATCTCTTGAAGTATAGGATATGACATAGAACAAAATTTTAATAACTTCTAGTTGGTTTACTATTCATTAAATAGGAATAGCATTCTCAACAGTACACATTTGTATCTACCATGTACAAGAATGATAGATACAAAGAGTGATGGCTATTTCTGGGTTGAATGTATTGTTAAATGAAATCAAATAATACTAATGCAAAAGTGGTATCAAAAATAGGTTTTTGTTTCTAGTATTTCATTCTAGGAACTTCTAGCTGAGGTAGAACCACACCAACTTCCAGTGAGGACAAATGGATAACATAAAAAGAGGTAAGAAATAAAACATAGCCAGCAACATAATGAAATATTAAATTTCTACCTAGAATGTCACCTAATTGAAAATTTCAATCTAAAAGAAAGTAAACCAAATAGTCACTAAAAGTTTGGTTGTGCATATAAAAAAGGACAAAATTAAAGGATACTAGAAATAGTCAAAAGAATACAAATGCCAAGTTTACTTAAAATATGTATTATTTGGTGCATTAAAATAACTGTTGCGTATGTGTATGTACACACACATATATTTATGGAACTGCATAAAACACAGATATTAAACCAAATTACATAAAACAGTATAAGAAAAAATACCTAAGAAATGTAACCAAGGAGGTGAAACTTCTATACACTGTAGACTCGAGAAACTGATGAAAGAAAGTCAGTACTTAAACAAATAGAAAGTTAGGCCATGCTCATAAATTGGACAAAATGATATTGTTATAATGTCAAAATCAATTTACAGATAGAGGGCAAATCTCTAATAGCATTTTTCATAGAAACAGAATAAAAATTCTAAAACCAGAATGAAACCCAAAAGATCACAAATAGCCAAAGTAATCTTGAGAAAGAACAAAGCTGATACATAATGCTTCCTAAGTTCGAACTAAATCACAACATTAGAGTAATCAGAACAGAATGATATGGGTATAAAAACAAATGTTACAAACAGCAAATTTTGAATTCATTAAACAAATATGAGGCTATCATTTTACACTGCCTTGGAAGTCCGGGTTACTGTGGTAAGAACACATAATATAATAGAAAAAATTGAAATCTAATAGAAAAAAGTCCAAAATGACTGAAGCTTTCAGAAAGGATCTTTTCTTTATAACATCTAAGAAAATTTACCAAAAATATTTCATCTTATAAAATCATCTACAAAAGCTAGAAGATACAAATTTGATATAAAACAATCAATTGTATAGTCACAGCACAAAAATAAATAATTAAAAATGAAATAATTCGTAGATGAAAAATATCTGTATTGTAATGATATGAATTTTATCTGCATTAAAATGACTTTGAATGCAATTCAAATAAATAAGTATAGAACATGTCATATAATTCAATGGGGTTACACCAAAATGCATCTCAAAAAAGAAATACCTAAGAATGGTTGGGAAATTTTATGTAAGCAAACAATAATATATGTAATGACATAGTTAAATAGCATAATGTTGGTGAGAGCTGTTCTTAAATATTACTAGAAAAATTTCCAAATATACACCAAGTATACAGATTGCTATAACGAACTACAAACAACACCCAGCTTCAAAAGATATTAACACACTTGTATAATTGATCACTTTATTTGTTTTGCTGAACTATTTAAAAGATATCATACTGTTTCACCCCTAAGTATGATTTCAAGAACAAATGACAAACAGATAAAGTCTTAAAAATAAATACAGCAAAATAATATACCCAGAAAAATAACTGATAAAATTATATAATGGCCAATTTTAAAGAGAATGGTGGTTCAGTGGAGAACAGGTTTGATGTTATGGAGGATGGATAAAAAAGATCATATGCATGATTGTAGATAAAAACTAGATTTTGGTGATGATCATGAGGTAGGGAGTACAGATGTTGAATCATAATATAGCATAACTAAAACCTATAAAATGTGATAAACCAATGTTTCTTCAATAGATAGTTTTTAAGGAAATATTCACTTTTTTCCCCATCCCCAAAAAGTCACTTTATACTTGTGAAAATCAGCCTCCATGAATTGATATTGATAATCAGTATAACTAACTCCTGTTTTCCCTTCTCATGTATTTGTTCTTTCATGTAACAAACAATCCCTTTTACTGCTGGATTATATAAAAGCAAATACCAAACATATATGAATAATTTTATGGGTATCGAAAGCAAACTTAAGCACATTAAATGCATTAACTGTATCTCCCTCAGTTATCTTCTTTCTAGTAAGTCCAGGGTGATCTCATTTGGGTTGAAATTTGTAGTATGTAAGTCTACAGTCCGTTTTTAGTCTTATATTCCTGTGTGAGCTTGGATGCAGTGATTTTGGCATCTTTACTCTGCCGCCATCTTCCCAGGTCCCCCAGCATTAACCATATCTACTAAGCCAAATCTACAAATTGCAACATTTGTATGAAAAACAAGTTTTTATACTTGATTTGTATGAAACAGGATTCACACAAAGAACACATTCTGTACATTGCTGATATTCCCTAAGTTTCTTTTAATTCCCACTAGACATACACTTTCATTTTTCTATTGAAATTATTTTTAGCAAATTTAGACCACATTTGTAACAAAGAACTGGCCATATTACAGCGTTGACTTTTTTCAATCTCATAGTATTTTCCCTCTATTGCTAATTAAATCTACAGGCTGAATTTGATTCACATTTAATATAGAGGGTTGTGCAGAAATATTTCACATCCTATTGTGCACATCCTATTATATCACGCCAAGAAGCTCGTGATATCTGAATTCTCCATTTGGGTAACATTAAAGACTCATGAAATATAACCAAACTCAAATGACTATTGCCTAGGTTTATAGTTTTATTAAGGGTACCAATATAGTAGTAACTCTTAAAATCTAATGTTTATTACTAGATTTATTCAAAAACCAAAAATATATTTCATAAACTATTCCATTATCTTATACTAAACTGCTATATAAAATGCAAGGTAAATGCTAGATAATTTCCTTTTTTCAGTTTTCAGAATAAGTTTGCAAACAGCCTCCTTTAATGTCCAATATTTCATTCCTAAAATACCAATATAAAATTCTAAATATCTGCAAATTTGTGATCTGACAGGATAACATTTTATGGGGATTTATGATAAACAGCTTAGACTATTGGTAAAGGGTAAATACTATGGTTAATAAATGCTGTTGAGTCAAAAAACTACCACCTACAATGAAGCATATATAGAGCATACTGATAAATATAGAAACTCAAGCTCCGTGAAACCAAGAAACAATTGAGGTTTTTGGCTATTAATAGAAAATCTCAATGTCTACCAAGTGACAGTAAGTGCTTAACATGCTTCTGAACAGAAATGCTCAGTAAGTTATGTATATGGATGTTATGTGTACCTGCTGTTATATGCAGGTCAATGGCAAACACTGGAAATATGGGGTAAAAAATAGCTCGTTTTCAGTATTTGTTGATTTCTTCTATGTAAATACTACTCCCATGAATACTGTTGGGAACAGAAGTGTAAAAATGATGATCACTAGAAACCATAAACTGCTTCCTGCATACCATTTGATAATAATGAGAAGGTCATATACTTTATAAAACTCAAGTCATTTTGTTTATGTATGTATATGTATCCATACAATCAATTATAGACTCAAATTGCAGAGAAGAGACAGGTTTTCTTTGTAGCAAGAGATGTTATTAGGATACAATAAAAAGGGTAAATGGAGTTTTTATTTTATCAGCATCTGTTAAACTGTTCATTTATTCCTTATGTATTAAGTGGGCAAAAATAAGATAAATATCTTCGATATCAGACACATCAAGCAATTATCTTTACTAATATTAACATTAAGCTCCAATATGATATAAATAACCAATAGAATGAAAACAAAGTCAACAAAACATTTGAAAAATATACAACTTACTTTGGCTTCCGTTTCTCCCCGGTGAAGAGTATATAAATGATGTACAGCACTTTGTGAAGAGGACCAAGGATGTGTCAGGATTTGGAAGACATGAAAATCATGGCCAAGTGTATCTGTTGTAACCAGAAGCATTCCTGTAGGTTAAAAAAAAATAAAAAGATATACATTTAAAATTTTCATACAGAACTCACTGGCTTTAACATTAAACCAGTGCTAAAAACAAACAAACAAAATCAATGATACAACAAACTTCCTATTCTTAAAAAATGAAGACACAGTATGTTCTTGTCATATGACTACAAAACAAGACATAAGCAAATAAACATAGTGAGGACACTTGCTGTAAAGGTTGTATGATGTACCCGTAAGACTAATTGTGAAAAATTTTATGACTAAATTTACAGAGTACACATGCATTTTAAAATAAGAAAATAAGAATATGAAATTATTTATATAGAACACATTCAATGTTTTCCTATTTCTCAGAAGTTTAAGTTCCAATATATCTACAACTACTAATAACCTAACTTAATTCACTATTTGAAAATTTGACTTTACCCTGACATGTTTATTCAAAATGCCACAGTATAATTCACGGAATGAGTTTTTCTTTATTTTACGTAAACAATAACTAGGGTGTGGGCCAAAAGGGGGGAGGAGTAGGTGAGAGTATTCATTAAAGACAGAGTGGGTAGCAGAATAGGCAGATCTACTGAAATACACTGCTGAGGGGAGCAGCAGGTGGGTCAGGGGAGATCTGCTGCACCATGTGGGTCAGCTCCCAAGCCAAGAATCCAGATCAACTTATTCCACAGTAGTGCTGAGACATTAACCCATGCACCACCAAAGAGGTGAGAGTTTTTCATTTGTATGAGATGTCAAAGGTAACATTTACTTACCTATACTAAGACTGCAAAAACTTCATATGATGTTCTTTTGAAAAATTCACTTTTATACTTTATATTTAGGTCTGCCAACCATTTTTGATAAACTGTTGTTAATCAAAGGTATGAGATATCAATCTCTTTTTTTGCAATGATGCCCAATTATGCCAGCAAACATTCTTTCCTTTAGAAAATATTTTTTAACCAGTAATCAAAGTCATATTTGTGTAGTTCTTTTTCTAAAATAAAATTTGATTCTATTCTACTAATGTTTTAATATTATAAGTTGAAATCATATAAATGAGTTCTCCTTTTCAACATATGGTGGCTACTCTAGTTCCTTTGCCTTTCCTAACATAGAAAAGACGACAAAAAAATATGACTAGAATTTTTTTGAGGGGATCACATTAATTTAGCTAACCATTCTGCAAAGATGGACATCTGACCTGTGAACACAACTTATTATTGATTTAGATCTTCTTCAATTTCTTTCTCTTCTTATTCAGCACAGAATTATATCTTTTCTTAGATCTAGTATAATGGTACTTCAATTTTTGTCTTACTGTTGTACAAAAATATAATGACATATTTACAATTATGATATACAGTCTGCCAGTTCTTAGAGTTTTAAATGTAGACAACACATGATTATCTTTATAAACATAATTTGTTTTCTTCCATTTACATGCTTTTTCTTTCTTTCTTGACACTGTGTTTGCTGAGGTAAATAGGAGTAGTGAGACATAATATTGATGACTTCTTCCAAGTTTCAGAAAAAACATTCAGCTTATGATGATGTCAGCTGTATTTTTTTAATATAAATCTCTCCTTCCAAGTTAAGGATACTGCTTTCCACCCTGTTTCTGACCATTTTTAGAATGAACTAGTGTTGAATTTTGTCAAGCACTTTTTTGCACCTATAAGGTGATTAACTGGTTTTACTTAAATTAACAGAGTGAATTTTAATAATGGCTGATTATTAAATGTTATGGAAGCCTTGCATTCCAAAGATAAGCTCCACTAAAAGTTCTTTATTATATGGTACTGTACTCAATTACCTAATATTTTTTTGAAGATTTTTATGAGTGTGTTTTTAGAGGATGCTTGCTCATAAGGTTTTGCCTGTTGATATCACAGAAAGCTATTCTCAATGAAAAATATTCCTTCGATTCTTATTTTCTGGAAGAGACGGGAGGACCTTGCTATAATTTCTTACTTAAATGTTCAGTATAATTTTCCAGGAAAACTATATGGGTCTTTTCCTGAAGCTTTTTTTTAACTGCTACAATAAAATTCCATTGAATTTGTTTGTTAACAAAAAAAAAAAAAAAAAAACCAGCATCCCGGGGGATTGAATTTAATTTTATTCTTAGAGAAATAATTTCCTAAAACTCTAGGAAATGGTCCTTATTTGTATCAGTAGGATTTTACTTGTGTTCATTTTTTCATACAAGATATTGATAACTTGTCTTCTTCACCATAGAAAAGAAGGCAATTGAAACTCTGTTGATGTCACTGAATTAGGTTGAGATGTTTTCCAGCATCTTACTGTATTTCATGTATGTGTAAATGTTGTTTTTTTTTTTACTTTCTAAATACTTGTGTATTTACCAGCTATCTTTCACTTACAGATTTCTACCTTAAATCCATATGACAAGAAATTTGTTATGGCTTGACAATCTGAAAACAGTATTTTTGTAGGTAGCTGTTTTGTGTACAAATGAATACCTGTAATGTTCTTTAAATACCAATTCAAATTAATTAACAGTGTTTGGATCTATAATATCATCACTGATTGTCTGTTTAATGTTCTTTCATGGAGCACAAGTTTACATCTCCAATTTCTTTCTCCCCACACCCCCCAAAAGATTCATACACCATTAGGAGTGCTATAACTTCTTAGTGAATTACCAATTCTATTGAAATGATCCCTGGTACTTGCTTTGTTTAAAAGCCTAGTTTCACTAATACAAATTTTGACACATCTGGTTTTGACTTGACTGGTGTATGTATGATACAAACTTTTTCATTCCTTAAACTATTACAATCAATATTATTTTAATTCAAATCACATTTTTGTAGATATAAACTGTGGTTTAGCTTTGGTTTTTTTTTTAATCAATCTCAATCTTTTAATTAATTAGTGTTTCTATTTCATTCCTATTTAGTATAACTTCCTGGTACAGTACAATTTACATCTACAACATTACTGTTTTTCTGATCCTTGTTATGTGTTTGTGTCCTATTTTCCCACTTTTTTAAGTGTAGTTATCTATGTGCACTTTGAATATCTCTCTTAGTAGTAAGTTCTATTAGATTGTGCCAGAGTTTATAGTACACATATCTAAATTTGTGTTCATTTATATTTGGTCCAATATCTGAGGAAAATAAGGCTTATTAGTTTCCTCCACTATGTCAGAAATAGAATCACATTTTTGTTGAAAGAAAGGTATGAAAGAGTATCAATCATGTGTACTAGATATTTAAATGGAAAGATGAAGTACACTGGAGCTTGCTATTCCCTTGAGTAGCATAAAAAGCAGATCTAGTTACTAAATTAGATTAAAAAATATCGTACCTGTTGGGGGTGGAGTGGGGAATGGGATCAAAAACGGGGGGGGGAAGAGAAATGCACGAGATTATGGTGATGGCACACGGGTGATTTGGTGATGGGAAACCCGCGGGGATTACAATCGAGATGGAAAAAAAAATGTACAAAATGATGTAAAAATAAACGTTTGTAGTAAAAAAAAATCGTACTTGGAGTTAGTGTCCTTTTTCAAATAAATATACCTGTGTGTGTATTAGACAATGAAAAGTATTTACTAAGTATACTTCAACTCTTTAATAGTTTCCAGAACATTGCCTCCCACTCTATGTCTCTGTGGCCATGAGATCCCTCACAGACTCTATATTCTGTCCTTGCTGCTACTCAAACAATGAAGTTTGAGCATAAATGTTTAATTGTTCTTTTGTAGACAGCACATTTTAGAACCCCTACAACTCCTCTCCAATGTGCTGATTCTATATCACCATAAAAAAATATCTTCTGTAGTTGATGAACAACTCAAAAGAAAGTATATTCTGCAGGACAAGTGAGAAGCTTACACTTTAAGACAATATTACTCATATATTGAAGATAAACTTCATTAGCTTTAAAATCATGCCAATATTTTACTCATATAAGCATTCAAATAAAAATCCCTACCAGCCAACTCATGACTATTGTTTTGCACATGAGTGATAATCAAAGGTAAAGAATTGTGAAAGTGTTCCTTTATTTTCAATTGACATATCTGTTCAATATTTTAAATGTAAAACAAATTCAAATGTTTAAAGAAACATCAAAGAGAAAATTCATCCTTATCATGGTCTGTGTGGCCTATCTCTTTTCCACTCCTCTATGCAAATGTCATTTCTATAAGGAGCATACATGTTTAAACAAAAAATTAATTTGAAATGACACTAAGGAAAGAAAGAAATAGCTGTTACACATTCATATGTTTTCTCTTAATTTACAGTTTCATCTCTTTTGCACACTTTGTACTCGGGAAATAACAAGCTGTTTTTGTAGAAAACAATTTAAAAAGCAGATATACATAAAAGGAAAGACTCGTACTGAGCAGACTGTGGCTTGAGAACTATTTATGCAGCATCAGAAGACTAAACCAGACTCTAGCCTGGCCATAAACTAAACCCACGCCCCAAATGAGGTGCCAAGCCACAAAAAGCATTTGCGTCATCTGGGAATACAAGGAAAAGAAGGACTTCTAATTATAGGGCCTGGAAGCGGAAGCCTAGAGTGATTAGCTGTTTAGGCGCTGCTGTATGTTTATCTGGAAGCTTCCTCTCCCTCACTCTCAGCCTCAAGTTTGATAGATGAGCGTTAACATTAGAGGGTGGGGACTAAAGCTGCTGATGGTACATGGCGTTCTTCAAAATCTGAGGTAGCTGGAGACTGAACATTAAGGCTTCTGTGGCCTCCTAAGAACAGCAGTCTTTTCAACTGGGCGTCAGCTGGTTAGCCCAAGAGGCAAAATTAAAGAGTAGCAAACTTCCACTGGGCATATGCTATAAAATCCTGGAAACATGAGTACGTTTGTCTTCTTTGCCATATCCTATTTATAACACCTACCTAATTGTATGGTACTTAATCATGTGCACACATAAGAACTGGAAGACAAATTACCAGCTACAATTTCTTCTAAAAAGAGACCTAAACATTGATATGTTGGATCAAGGAAATGTTT